CTCATTCCCTCACTTACTGCCTCCCTCACTCACTCACCCACTCCTTTTCTCACTCACTTCCTCACTCACTCCCTCACTCACCCACTCCTTTGCTCACTCACTTCCTCACTCACTCACTCACTTCCTCACTCACCCACTCCCTCACTCCCTCCCTCACTCACTCCGTCACTCACTCTGACCCACTCCTTCACTCACACTCCATTACTCACTCACCGACCCACTGCCTCGCTCATTCACTTCCTCACACACTCATCACTCACTCCGTCGCTCCCTCACTCACTCACTCCCTCTTCACCCACTCCCTCCCTCCCTCCCTGCCTCCCCCACTTAAAGTTGAGAATAGGAAATCCACAAACTGGTTCATCCACTTCATTCAGTCCTGTTTTAATCTTTCTTTGTGTCACAACTGTCCTTACCCAACCACCAACCTCCCCAACCAAGCACTCACCCTCCACTCCCACCTCTCTGTGCTTCACATCGCAGTCGAGCAGCCAGCCCGGCTGTGACTGTGTACTTTCCTTCAGCATCTCCCACACAGATCCTCAGTCCAGCTCAGGCACCATCACACCTCCTGCTGGAAGTATCCATCGCTAACCCCATGGTTAGGATTGTATTGCCTGTCCCTAGTTGCCCCTTGAGAAGGTGCAGTCCACCTGCTGTGGGTTGACCCACAATGCTGATAGGGAGGCAATTCCAGCAACACTGAAGGAACGGCAATTTATTCCCAAGTCAGGACGGTGAGTGGCTTGGAGGGGAACTTGCAGGGGGTGGTGTTCCCATGTACCTGCTGCCCTTGTCCATCTAGATGGAAGTGGCCGTGGATTTGGAAGGTGCTGTCTGAGGACCTTTGGTGAATTTCTGCAGTGCATCTTGTAGATGGTACACACTGCTGTTACTGAGCATCGGTGGGGGAGGGAGTGGATGCTTGTGGATGTGGGGCCAATCAAGAGGCTGCTTTGTCCTGGATGGTCAATGATAATCCCCAGAATGGTGATAGTGGGGGATTCAGTGATGGTAACACCACTGAATGTCAAGGGGCGGTGGTTAGATTGTCTCTTGTTGGAGATGGTCATAGCCTGGCATTTGTGTAGCGTGAATGCTAGTAGCCATATGTCAGCCTGGATATTGTCCAGATCTTGTTGCTTGTGAACACGCACAGTTTTAGTATCTGAGGAGTCATGAATGGTGCTGAACATTGTGCAATCATCGGTGAACATCCCCACTTCTGACCTTATGATGGAGGCAAGGTCATTGATGAAGCAGCTGAAGACAGTTGAGCCTGGGACATTACCCTGAGGAACTCCTGCAGTTGGGGGAGAGGGTGAGGGGGAGGCAGTGAGGGGGAGAGGGGGAGGGGGGGCGGGAGGGGGTGAGGGGGAGGCTGTGAGGGGAGAGGGTCGGGGAGACAGTGTGGGGAGAGGCAGTGGGTCTTGCTACCCCTGAGTATATGGCCTCAAATTTGTGGGGGAGACCCCACTTTGGGAAATTCCTGTCTTATCCATTTGGGAAATGGTCACTTTTGCCTGAGCTCCTATTCTGTCCCTGGACCGTACCCTCCCTGACAACCTCCTCATGTTCATTTATTGTTTGACCCAAAAACCTGGTCTTTTCATGCTGGGTCAGGGGGCAGAGGTCATGCACTCGGTGTAGGTGACGAGAGTATGATCCTGGCACAGTTTCTAACTTGTTCCTCCAGCTCGTTATGGGAACACTCTGAGCAAACAGCTCAGTATTTATAACATTCCTCAACACATTCTGAAAATATCAGAAACTCAGAATGTTTCAGAAACAGGTTGGAGTCATTCCTTCAAATCAGGAGAATGGTTCATAGAGAAAAGGGAGCAGTGAGGAATACAGAGGCAGCTGTAGGCCATTCAGCCCCTCAACATCTCCTCTATTCACCAAGCTCATGGCCAATCAGAGCGAATGCCAGGCCGAGACAGAGATGAGAGGTGCAGGGCGAAATAGGGAGGAGGGGAGAGGATGAGGAGGAGCGGGCGTCCTCAGAATGGAAGGGGACAAGGTGAAGGAGGAGAGGGTGGGAAACAGGAAGACATAGAAGATCCAAGGGCAGGGCTGTGGGATCAGTCTTGTGTCTGTAAATGACCGCAAGATTTCCCAACTGACCAATCACACGCAGGCTTAGGATCTGTCAATGTCAATCGAAACTTAGTCTCCGTCAGCCTTGCAGCCAATAAGAATTCTCCAAATTCACAACTGTGATTGGTGGAGGATTGATACAACTAGCCAATCAGAATGGATGTGACGGAGCAAGTGATTGATTAACACAGTCCATCATAGTGATCAACTCCAGTGTAACCAATCACTGCTGTCGGGAGGTGATAGACTGGATTTCTCCAGGACTGGGAATCAGGAGGCACACACTCGACAGAAACAGTCCTGGATCCTAGGCCGGCCTGAGATCGCACTGGGACAGAGAGAGCTCTGTGCACGCAGATCAGACAGGGATTCTCAAATACATCCTTCACCCGAGCAACACACATCCACAAAACCCATTCCCTATCTCCAACAGAGACTCCAGAGGGAATCCCAGGCGGGACTGTACCTGGCGACAGTAATAATCTTCATATACTGCTTCATAGTGAGGATTCTCCAGACACACAACAGATCCCAATCGATCATCACAACCTGTAAACACAAACACAAAGGATCACATGGGGAAAGAGCACAAGATACCAAAATTCACAGACTCTTATTGGACTATAGGGTCCCACACACACTGACTCTCATTGGGGTACAGTCCCACACACACTGACTCTCACTGGGGTACAGTCCCCCACACACACTGACTCTCACTGGGGTACAGTCCCACACACACACTGACTCTCACTGGGGTAC